GGTGTGGAGTCCCCTGGCAGCTGAATCCTGGTGGATGCTGACGGCTGCTGGGCTGTGAGTCCCTGTGGGGATGTGGCTGTGGAGCAGGGGGTGCTGCCATGAGCCCCAGCTCCTCGCTGCGTGAGTTTGCCGTGTTCTCACCTGATTAGTGGATTTGAAATATGGTCTTTGGCTTTGAGACCCGAAATAGATGTTAGGTTGCCTCCGCTCTGCTGGAGGCTCCTTAGTATGCAAATCCCTCCTGAGCACGGCCAGTGCAGAGCTGTGTCTGCAGAGGGCCGGCACCGCCGACAGCCCGGCTCAAGGTGCTCAGCAGCGTGCTACCCAGCAGGGAGAGCGCCGTGCTCCTTCACCGCCCTTCCCCAGCACACACCTCTGGCCAGGCTGCTGGAGGAGTAGCTCAGGGCACGGAGTGGGTCGCCACGCTCTCACCTGCCGTGGTTTTGTCTCCATGCTGGGCACAGCGCGGTTACCGGTGCTGGCGCTAAGCGCGAGGAGCAGCATTCCGCCAGCACCTCCCCTTTCCCGGTGCCCCAGCAGGTTTCCGATGAGGCACCAGGGCCGGCAGGCAGTAACATTCGTTTTGTCACTTGTGCTGCCATCACCGAAAAAGGAAAAAACAGCTGCCTGTAGGGGAGAGCTGGGCCCTGTGACATTCACTTCATCTAACAGCAAGCGATGCATCCAGCAGCATCCCAGCACCGTGAGCTCAGAGCTCCGCTCTGCCACCACAGCAGCTGCTGTCAGCCCCCAGTCCCTGCACTGCGTCCCCCTGCACTGTTGTCCCTAATGGAGATGGCCCACCCTGCGCCCAGAGCCGGCAGCGGGTGCTCGTTATGTGGCACTAATTGCTTGCTACTTTCATCGTGTTTCCTACCCTGTAAAGATTGAGTCAAAACGGAGCGCCCCGAGGAACCGCCTCTATTAAACTGATGTTCATGAGAGCTGACTTTGTGCTACCTCATTAGGCTCCTGTAATTGAAGGAGTTAATTGATTATCAATAGTTTCAGCTCCCTCTTCCCGTGCCTGTGAGGCCCCGCAGCCGTTCTTTGGGATCCCCCATCCATCACACAGCTCCCTGCAGCCAGCAGCCTGGTGCTGTGGGTAGCTCCCCGCATCCCCCCAGTGCCGTGTCTGTTTTCCAATGCACACGTGCTATATTTGGAGAGGTGTGTGTGGGGGCCCAGCTCCGAAGCGCCTCGTCCCCCGGAGCCCCCGAGCCAGCTGCTTGCAGCACGGCTCCTGGCCCACGGCATGGGGCTGGGGCAGAGCTGCACGGGGGCTGTGTGGAGGATGCTGGATGCTCACTGCCTTCCTGCACCCAACCATGTGCTGCCTGACTCAGCTGCACGCCCGCGGGAAGGTGCTCCATGTCCACACCCCCTGTGTTTGCAGTGCCATCTGTCCATCCATCCATCTATCCGTCCATCCGTTTGTCCATCCATCTATCCGTCCATCCATCTGTCCAGGGCAGGGGTGCTGCCATACCCATACTATGCCACATCTCTGCCAGCAGCCACAAGGGAAAGACGAGGCGAGTGGAAAAGCGTTGCTCCCCACCTTCGTTAGCTGTAACGAATGAGCGGTGTGTAGGAATGACATGACACCTGCTTTCCTCTTTATAAATTCAATAATTTATGGCAGGTATTAAGGGCAGAGCAGCCTCCCGGATAAAGGCTGCCATGCGTGCACGCTGGGTATTAGCCAACGGGACAAGGAGCCACACTCGGATAACACATGGAGATATTTACCCTCTCCCTCTATAAATTATTAAGGGCCTTTTTGCACATAATTACACAAGCGTTTATGTTTCTCACTCCCTGCCTTTAATCCCTTTTGGGAAGGTGCCAGGCAATGCTGCCCGGGGCTGAGCATCCATGTGCTGCGAGGGTGATGGCCGGGCCTGGTGTGCTGGCATGGGCACAGCTCTGCACTGCCCGGCACAGCGTGGGCACACAGCAGTGCTGCGCTCTGTGCTCACCCGGGGGGAGCAGCAGAGGTGTGAGCCCGAGGGATGGGGCCAAAACTCACCCCGTGGTGGCCGTGGGAAAGTGCGAAGCAGGCTCCGGTGTTTTAATTGCTCTCCAACTGTGCATGTAAATCAATGATACACAGGTGTAATTGGGCGTGCAAATGTCACTAGGCGGCTGTTTACATGCGCGGTGTACAGGAGGGGAGAGCGTGCATGTGCAGGGTTGTCAGAAATGCCACCGTGGGCCTGGCACAGCCACAGGGCCCAGCGCCATCCCAGCGTGGGCTGAGGGGCTCCTTCCCCCACCTCTCTGACCCCGGATTTGTCCCTTCCCTTGCACCGCTCCCCCCTCAGCTTTCTTTCACTGCTGGCTCTTGACACGACTCCTCTGTCTCCCCCTCTCCCCCCCCGCCTCGTGCTCACTGTGCTCTCCTGGCCCTCTCTACTTTGTGCTGAGAGCTTTAATCATTGCTTTGTCCCATTGTGCTGCTCCTATTCTTGTGCCAAGCTGTTAAAAAGCTGTCACTGTCATAACTTCCTTGTCCCAGAAATTATCTTTCATCTCCTGGATGAGGGCTACAATAGGCGCGGAGATGCTCGATATTATTAATACCTTCTGCATATGTGTCAATGAGCTCCAGAGCTGAATGGAGCCCTTCCACAGCCTGTCGCACAGCAGAGCTGCTGGGCCTTGGGTCGGGCTCCAGTTCTGACTGAAGGTTGGAGGATTTGGAGTGCAAGGGATTGGGGAGCCTTCTGGCTCCATGTCCATCAGCAGGCCATGGAGAGAAACCATTATGATAACACTTGATAACCACCCTCAGTTTCACTCGGGTGCAGGCGTACCGTGCAGAATTTGGACTCCCTCCAGCTGGTAATGAGAAGCCACTGGACTGATTCAGCCTGCTGCGAGGAGGCACCAGCACACGGCCAGATGGCCGTGGGGATGAGGGACAGGAATATCCCCGCCTTGCTCCTCATCCCGCTCCCCACACACATCCCAAAATGCCACCACCTCCAAGGAAGGGAGCACCTGTGGGCAGGGCACGCTTCTGCCCAAGCAGCCCTATGGTGTGCATAGTGCTGGGCACGGCGTGGAGCAGGGGATTGCAGCCCCCGCCCCGTGGGAGCGGTGCAGAGAGGCAGGCAGTGGATGTGGTGCTCCCAGAGCCGACGCTGGCGGTGCTTCAAGGCGCGGTGCATCTTATCTCCGCCTGGCATTTGCATGGATTTTCTCAGCTCAGCTCGTTACGGCAGAAAGTGTGAAAATCTGAAAAGAGAAGGAACTATAATCATAACGGGAGGGATGACAACCCGTCCCCCTCCTGCCAGCTCGGCCCCGGTGCCGTGTTGGGGGGACACACCGGGCTCCAGGGCCCTGGGCTGTCCATGCCCTCACGCCAAGCTCCATCCTCGTCCCTTGCGTGCCACGGGGTGGGGACGGCTGTTGGAAAGGCGGTGTTGGGAGGCCCCCTGCTTCCCGGCAGCGCATAGCACCGCGGCTGTGCGGCACGGCCAAGGCAAAGTCCCCCTCTCACGCACCAGGCAATGCCAGGAATTATTCTGGAGTGCTGTTAGCGAACGCGCAGCGCCCTGCACTTTAGTGGGGCTTTAACGATGTGTGTGTGGGGGGGAGGGGGAAAAGAACTGAAAACAGCATTCGGCGCTCTTAGCCTGTCTTTTGTCCTCTGTTTTTTCTTCCTGGATGCATTCAGCTCGCCGGCTTTGTCTGTGTTGGTGAAGTGCTATTAACATCGATGGCATCGCTGAAATAGCCGTCATAATAGGAGGCATCGATCTGCGCGAGGGAAGGCCTGAGCTGCACCGAGGGGCTGCGCTGCGCTGCGCTCCTCGTGTGCCAGGAGCCGGCAGCCGGCGGGTGGGCAGCGGCACTGCCGGCTGATTCAGCTGCAGCGGGCGAGCTGGCGGTGCCCACCCCTTGTTTGTTCCCGTGCTGCTCGGAGCGGGAGGATCGCTGCTGCTCTGCAGGCCCAGGGGGAGCAGCAGCACGGGGTTTGCCCCAACGCCGTCCCCAAGGGATGGATGGCTGCCGGGCACGCGGCCCACGGAGGGCGCCTGGGAATCCCCACCCCTGCGCTCAGTTAATGGCTCGTGGAGGAAGGCCAAGCCTTCCTCTTCCTCAAAAGCTCCCACGGGCTTTAGGGCCGCCCGAGGGAAGGCTCCCGGGGCTCAGTGCGGGATGCCCAGACCCATGCCCAGACCCACGCCGAAGGCCCGGCTCTGGGCTCCTGGAACAGCCGCCTCTCACCCAGCTTGGCCATGCGGGACCTACCGGGCAGCCCAGCTGACAGGAGGCGGGAGGGGAAGGAGCACATCGGGAGCAAAGTCGGTGCTCACTATCACCAGGGATATCTTCGATAGAAGAGGGGCCGATGCCGCTCGATAAATCGGCACCCACCGGGGCAGGGTTGACGCGGCGGGCACAGCGGGGAGCGCCGGGTGCTGCCCGCTGCCCGCAGAGCTGAGGGCTCAGCGTGAGCTCGGCGCCGGCCCGTGGGGATCGGCAGCGCTCAGCCCCGCGCCCGCGCAGCTCCCCCGGCCCATCGTCCCGTCCTCCCGCCCCGGCGCCGGGCTGCGGCGAGGAGAGAGGAGCGGGGCGCCGGGCAGAGGCGACGCGCGGCCCCGGCCCCTGGGGGCGCCGCTCCCCGCACGGCGCTCCCGCAGCCCCGAACCCACCGCCCCTCGGCGCGGGGGAGGCGGCGGGAGGAGGGGACTGGCGGCGGCTCCGCACCGACCCGCTCGGCTCCGGCGCACCGCCCCGCGCCCGCCGGCGGCTCCTCCCGGAGGGGAGGCGGGGGCCGGCGCGGCGGCGGCGGCTGCTCCGGCTCCGGCTGCAGCCCCAGCCCCAGCCCGGCCGCGCCGAAGCAGAGCCGGAGCCCGGGCCGTGGCAGCCTCCGGCGGGGCCATGCCGCCGCCCCGCAGCACGGCGCCGGGCGCGGAGGAGAGGCCGCCGGCCGCGGTACGTCCCTAGGGCGGCCCCGCAGCTCCCCGTGCCGGAGCGGAGCCGGGGGCGGCCGGAGCCGGGCGGACCCGCGAGCCGGGAGAGCCGCCGCCTTCCCGTGCGGCCGCTGCGGAGAGGGGGAGCTGCGTTACTGCAGGTGGAGATTTTGGCGGAGGGGGTGGGGGCCGGGGGAGATGCCATTTCTGACCGAAGGAGATCGCCGGCGAGGATGAGATGCAGGTAAGCGCGGAGGCGATGCCGGGAGGGAGCGGGCGCGGGGCGAGCGGGGAGCGGGGCTGTCGGGCCGGGGGGGGCGGATGGAGGGGGGTGGACGCGAACCCCGGGCCCCGCCGGTGGCCGCCCCCGCCACCCCTCTCCTGCCGGCAGCCCTCCTCGCTGCTCCCCCGGCCCCCGCCCCGCCCTGCCCGCAGCCGCATCTCGAGGGGCAGCCCTCCCGCTCCCCGGATGGAGGAGCCGAGCCGCCGGGCAGCGGATTACACATGCAGGTGGGGTACGGCCGGGGCAGCGCTCCCAGCCAGGCGGCGGCCCCAGCGTTGCCATCCGGGGCCGGGGAAAATCGCCCCACGGCTGCGCCCGGCCCCGGGCGGAGATAGGCAGGGACGCGCCGCCCGGCCCCGGGGAGCGGCCCGCGGGAGGGGGCCAGGGAGTATCGCTGAGCCCTCCGTCACCATTGGGCTCAGGGACGGCCAGCGGGGCCGCGGGGAGGTGCCGGCGGGTGGGAGGTCTGAGGGAATCCGGGGCGCTGAAGGGTCCCCGTGCCCGGGCTCCTAATTGGAGAGGGAGAGGCGGCGGCGGGAGGGGAATTCTGACAGCGCTTCGCCCTCGGTTTGCGCCCGGCAGGAGAAGGGGTTAATGGTGAAGGGGCTCTCGGGGCAGGAGGGCACGAGGGCTGCCCCGACCCCCCCCGGCCGCCGCTTGTTGCTCCGCTGCTGTCCGCGGATGATCGGATTTTTCACCTTGCGCCTCGCCGAGCGCGGATAGCCCGGAGTGCGAGGCAGCCGTGCGGCGGAGGTGCCACCTCCGGACTGAGGTGGGAGCGCTGATGCCGCTGAAGGGTTTCTGCCGGGAGGGAGGGACGTGCGGCAAACGCCTGCGGGCTCCGTGCGAGCGGCTTTCCTCGCTGCGGGCTCAACGGCACCCCCCGCGTGCCCCCAACCTAGCGGTGTCCACGCAGCCGATTCCCCAGCACACGGCCCTCCCTGCAGCTCCCCCGGCAGCCGCAGAGGCCCCGTGAAGAGCACCGTGGGGTTCCCGTCCCGGTGAGGTGCCCGGGGCTGTGGCACCGCTCGGGGGCTCGCACGGGGCTCGGGCGGGCGGAGGGCGGTGCAGCAGGAGTTGTGGGAAGGGCTGCGCTGCCCGGGCGCTTGGCTGGGGGGATTCATTACAAAGCAGGTGGTTACACCTCCTTAACATAGCTGCTATTGCACACCTGTAACGCAATTACTCCGCGATACCGCTAATTACCACTGCTTCATGTCACCGGAAGGTGAACGGCACGATGGAATGACTTACTGTTCCTCTGCTTTCCCGCTTAAGACAGTTGCCATAAGGATGCCAAAGTTTGTGCCGCTCGCTGCACGTAACAAGTGTAAAACCCACTGACGTGAGCTTTCATTTCAGGGCTTGATAAATCACTTTATAATATCGCCACAATCACACTGTAATTGCAGCGTAATTACAGTTGCTGGATTCCCAAGCAAACGGAGCTCATCGTTGCCCAGCGAGGACTGATGGATGCATGGGGTAGGCAGGGTGTGCTGCTGGTTTGTATGGCAGCCCTCCTGGTGGCACAGGATGCAGGCATGGTGCCCTGCACCACATTGGTGCTGGTGGGGTCTGTCCTGGCAGAGCAGGAATGGCTTTGCGTGGGCAGAGGGCTGTCGTGGCTCCAGTGGGGGGAGAGCAGCGAGCTGGGGATGCTTAACTCAAATCAAACAACCCAAGAAAAATAAAGGGAGAAGCAAACCGAAGGCCGTGCCCTCAATTTCCTTCCAAGCCCATTTTTCCCCATACCCTCTCTCTCTCCCCACCTGGGGGAGCAGAAATTGGAGCTGTGGAGGGGAACGGCCGCACGCAGAGCATTCCGTGCCACTGCCACGTGCCCCTGCTCTGCGTGCTGCTGGGGCTGCACCCTTATCCTGCCTTGGGGCCGCCCTGCTTTCCCTGCCCACGTTTCCAGCAGCCTGATGGGGTCCGGATATGCTGTCCAGTGGGGTCGGTGCCATGCTTTGGGGATAGGCAGGCACTGTTCCCCCCCACAGTACAGCCCAGCCCCAGCCCTCCCACTGCCCCACGCTGCTCTGACTTATCTTGCTAGGACCCACAGTTATAATGGATTGGTTTCTTGTTTTCTTTTTTTCTTTATCGTTTCCGTTCCGTTTCTTCATCAGAATGCAAAACGTTAAATATCGCTCTTGTAATTACGGTTAATTTCATAACCAGCACCTTAATTGGATTGGTCTCCGATGGGGAATTCTCACCGGAGAGAGAAGCAGAAATATTTTGGCGCAATCCATTCTTCCAGCTCATTGTTGAGATTGGAGATGTCGAGTGTGAAATGGATAACAACCCATGTGGAGCCAGAGGCACCCGGGGGGCGAGGGGCAGAGCCCGGGCACGTGCACAGCTGCTGGGTGCTCCTCCTCCCACATGGGCACGCTGGGTGCTGCAGGAACCCCTCCCTGCCCACGGGCCGTGCCGTGCCATGGCCATCCCACAGAGCTGCTGCTGGGCCCTGGGCCGGAGCTGCAATTTGCTTCGGGAAACATGGAATTGTGCTGCCATTAGGTGCTGCCATTAGGCTGATTGGCTCTCACTCTGTTTATCCTTTTCAATGGGAAACGATACAGAAGCCGAACCGAAATGGAAACCCAGGCCTTGCATTTCCGATTTAATTTCCATGCGCTGTGTTTCCACGTGATTACTTTTGTTCTCACATACAGCCCAGAGTGCAGCCTCTGTGTTATTATCACCACCGCTGGGGAGGAGGAGGAAAGGGTGGAAAGCATCGCTTTTCAGCTCAGGCGGAACAAAACCAAAGCACCGCGCAGCACCGTGCTGAAGGGAGCTCTGTGCCGTGGGGACAGCCCTGCTCTGCCGTGGGGACAGCCCTGCTCCTGCCATCCCATCCCATGGCACCCTGCAGCCGAGGGGTCAGGCTGGGGGTGCACAGGCCGGCCCCATCCAGCAGTGTAGGACGGGGCTCCGCTGTGGCTCTGTGCTCTTTGTTTGTATCTAATGTGTTTCATTGTTGGATGAAATAATAACAACAAATAGAGGCCCTGAAGACAAGCCATAAATAATGCAGAAATCAAACAAGCAAGAAAGGGGAAAGAAAAAGGAATTCTACGTGTGAAATCATCACAAAGAAAGCCGGGCTGGGAAGAGAAATCTCTGTGTTCACCATCACTCGTGCTTTCCTTCACTGCCTTTTTTTCTCCGTTTCTCTCCTTCTGGACATTCCTGCAGCGCTGTATTCGTTATTGTGTGAAGGAAGCAATAATTGGGACAGGTGGAGATGTGACTCACAGGAAGGCTCTGGGCAGGAGGCAGACAGGGGGCACAGCGATGCTCCCCTGCTCTGTGGTCAGCCCCTTCCAAAGGGCTGTGAGGCCACTCATTTGGGGCAGCAGTGTGATTATACCAGGGCCGGTCCCAGCCAGAGGTAAATCGGCAGCTTCCCTGGAGCTGTGTCCTCTGAAGTCCTCTTGCTGTTATCCTAAAGGTTTCCGGGGAACGACGCAGTGCTCCGGATCAGCCTTTTTGTAGGGCATTGCGCTGGTTGTGGGTGTATTTTAGGATAAAGCGTGGGAACAGAAGCGGTGCTGTGAGTACGGGCTGACCTTAAATGTAACGTAATGGATGTGCCCACAGTCTCCAGCAGCAGCATCGCTCCGTGAGGCTGGGATGAGCCTGGTCCCCACCTGCTGCGGCTGCGCAGCATCGGTGCCTCCATCCAGGGCTTCACCTCAGAGCAGGGCTGGGATGCAGGGGTGGGGGACCCAGACTCTGCACAGCAAGTCACAGCCCAGGCTGCATGGGAGGGCATGCTGCCCTGAGCCCACAGCACAGAGGGGATTGTGGATGGGCTGCAGCAGCTGCCTCTGTCCCATAAGGGCACGGCGAGGTGAGCACTGCCTTCCCAATGTCAGCGTGACCCTGGCGCCTCTCCCAGGAGATGCTCCTTCGTCGTTCCGGTGCACATGTTTCCATAGTCGAGGAGGCTTTTTCCATCCCCTTTCCACAGCTACATGAAGGGAAGCACAAAGCTCTGTACAGCCCTTCAGTTCCGCTCTGGCCCAGTGCTTGGTGCTCACTGAGCTGGGTGCCTCGTGCTGAGTGCCTCCAGCAGCCCATGTCCCCAGAGGTGGGTGTCTCAGAGGGGAGGCTTGCTGCCATAAATAAAATGAGAAGCCCCATTTGGACAGCTGGTGCATGTCCTTGGACTGGGGAGGTGATCGTCCCTCTGTAGTGGGCTCTGGTGACGCTGCACGTTGAGTGCTGTGTTGGGCCCCTCACTGCCAGAAAGACATCAAAGCCCTGCAGCGTGTCCAGAGATGGGCAGCAGAGCTGTGAGGGGTCCGGAGCACAAGTGTGATGGGGAGCTGCTGAGGGAGCTGGGATGGGTCAGCGTGGAGAAGAGGCGGCTCAGGGCAAACCTGACTGCCCTCTCCAACTCCCTGACAGGAGGTTGTGGTGAGGTGGGGGTCGGCCTCTGCTCCAGGTAACGGCGATAGGATGAGAGGTGATGGCCTCGAGCTGTGCCAGGGGACGGACAGGTTGGATTATCAGGAGGAACTTCTCTGAAAGAGTTGTGAAACAGTGGCGCAGGCTGTCCATAGAGGTGGTGCAGTCACAATTCCTGGAGGTGTTCCAGGTTCGTGGAGATGTGGCACTGACGGATGTGGGCAGTGTGCATGGTGGGATGAGTTGGGGTTGGACAAGATGATCTTGAAGGCCTCTGCCAACCCTAATAGTTCTGTGATCCTTCACAGTCCACCTCCTGCTCTCCTGATGACCCAAGCTTGAAACATCTCCAGGGCACTTGCTCCCAAGGCAGACCCTCAGGGGACATCCCCCAGCAGACACAGCCCTACAGGCACTGCTCAGCTGCGGGCAGCCCTTGGCTGCAGCAGTTCGGTGTGCATGGAGCAAGGCTGGCTCTCAGCCTGAGCTCCACGGTATGCTGCACCTTCCCATGCTCATTTATCTCCTGCTAGCTCAGGGCTCTGCACCCGAGGCATCCACAGCTGCCTTTGCAATTACTTATTGATCACTTGTCAGGATGTTTTCTTTGCTGATGGGTCACTGAAGCATGTGCAGCCAAAGAGAGAAAAAAACCTTGAAAAACGAGGGAGCAAAGGTGTAAGGAGGGTGAGCAGCTCTGCACAGCTGTGATCTCAGCCAGAGGGCTTCAGCAGAACCACGGAGCTGATGGGATCTCCTTGCCAGCACCCTGCTGACTTACCTCCCCGGGGCAATGGGACTGCTGCACTTTGGGAGGAAGAGCCATAGCCATGGGGAAGCCCTTTGCACAGCAGTCCCATGGGCTGGGAGCTGTGGGTACCTGGTGCCAGCCAGGCCATGTTGGTGCCGGAAGGGGATTTACATCTTGATACTTCTTCGTGCTCTTTTACAGCCCCGGAGCAACTGCCACGGCAGATCAGGTTGCGGCGCACCTATTCCAGGCTCCATCTCGGAGCAGCTGAAAGCAGATCCTGCAGCTCAGAGATCCTTCTGTGCAACCTCCCGGAGCGCTGCGCATTCCCAAGCGGGGAGACGGTGCCACCCCACCTGGGGTGGGAGCGGGGAGATGGAGGAAAGAGGCCATGAATGTGCACTGGGCGCAGAGGGAGTGATGGAGAGAGGCGGAAATGGGCACGAATGTGTTTGGCAAATTAAAGCTTCTCCCTTTGTTTTGCTGCTTTGCAGATAGCTACAGGAACACTTAGTGCAGAGCCCAGGGTCTGGCTAAGCAACTCTTCTAGCAGCGGGAAAGGTTGTTAAATATTTATTTGTAAACCTGGAGTCTTTATCTCTAAAATGTAGTCAAGTTCAATAAAGCTTGATTTAGCCGGAGCAGCTTCGAGGAGAGCGCCGACTCCGGGAGCTGCATCCCAGAAGCTCCGTGCAAAGGCGGTGGTACAGAGGAGGGGTTGAGCTGGGGGCTGACCCCCTGCCCACACCTATAGCCACAGCCCCACACTCAGCCGTGCCCCCCAGCCCTGCTTTGGCCCCATGCACTGTGGGGCCCCAGGGATTTGGCTCGCTTCGTCCTCGATTGCCTGTGTCGCTTGATGCTCTCGAAAGCATCTGGTTCAAGGGTGAACGTCTCACGCGCTGTAATTTATGAATGCCAGGTGGGCTTAGCGCTGACGCAGGGGTTTTGCCGCTCGTTTGCTGTCGGCGCAGCAGATTGCATGGTGCAGCTCCAGTCCCAGTGCTGGGCACCCTGCGGGCAGCAAGCACGGCACGGCTGGGGCGGGGAGGGAGCAGCACCTTGGGGTTGAGCCCAGGCGCACGGTGGGGCTCCTCGGTGACATCCCAGGGTTGGTTTCTCTGGGGATGTTCCTCCTGTGTCCGTCACAGCAGCACGCCCCGCTCACGTCAGCAGCCTGGCCCCAGAATAGCATCTTTCCTCCCAGCTCAGCGGGTACTGCCGCATTTAGCACCGTGCCCATGGGCCATCTGTGCCCCTCGGCAGCTCTCCCCCAGATGGGGCTGTGCCTCCGAGCTCCCCGTCCCCAGGCAGCGGGTGGCGAGGGTGAGTGCTGGATGCCATGTCTCTGGGCACTATTTTTTCCTTTGGTTTGCACTGATTTGATATTTGTGTGATGCTAGTGATTCCGGCAGCTGCTCCCTTCTTATCGATTCCCTTTCTATGTTGGTGCCCGAGGGCTGCAGTGCTCCCCAGCTGGTACCAGCTCGTGCATCGTAGCCATCAGCCCCGATCCCAACTGAGCACTTGGAGTGGGGGTTCAGGTGCTGCAAGGTCAGGCAGGGTTCAGGGTCTGCCTTGTGGCATGCCTGGAAGGGCTGCACCTACTGCATGGCCCAATGGAGCCATGGAGGATTCCACAGCACACAGCCCAGCCGGAGCTCAGCCTGCCATGCCAAAGCCTGCTGGGCTCCAAGATGGTGCTGGTGGATGGTTTTATGCCCGTCCAGGATCGCTCATCCTGAAACCTTAACCTTGCAAAGAAATGCTGAATTTATTTTTCTGCATCAAAAGTTATACTTATGCCATCTAGCTCTATGAAATGATGCATATAAACAGACACAATTAAAGTAACGCACAGAATGTATACCAGGCCCATAAATAGTGCTGCAGTAGGGAAAGTAATGGACAGTGCATGTAATGAGGGATATAAAGCAATGCAGCAATAGACATAAATAGCGTTGGTAGAAGCGATGCAGAGCGTACACATAACAATAGATATAAACAAAGTCCAGAGTAGCTGCTCATCTCATTTGTAACATTAATATGATTTGATTCCTCATAGCAGCTTACACAATAAGGGAAGGAATGCCATGGAGGCAGTGAGGGAGAACTCCTTTCTGTCCCAATCCTGGACAGGAGCTGCCCATACAGTGTCCAGGGAAGGCCACCAGTGCTCCCAGGACAGGCAGCAGAGGGCCTCACAGAAGGCCTGGAACCAGGAAATGGTGAGCCTGGAGGAATGCAGCCCTGAAGTTGGCTGACCACAAGCTGTGTTTTGAGATCATCACCGAGGGATGCTGTACCCGATGAAGCACAAATTTCCTATGCAGCCACAATCTGCAGAGTCCCAGTGCATAAGGGGAGCTGGCCTCTTACAAGACCCCCAGTGTCTTAGATGCACTTGCACAATGGCCCCATGTAGGGACACTCAAATCACACCTTCTGTCTTAGAGATAGATATGATGGCCCCTATGTAGCTGCGTGCAAAGTGCACTCAGTGTCTTAGAGACAAGAGCTCAATAGCCCCTGTATAGGGGCACACAAAACACACCCAGTGTCTTAGGGGGGGTGTAGGAGCCCCTCTATCAGGCTGCACAAAGTGCCTCAGAGGAGTCCCTATCCGGGGATGTGCAAAGGATACCCAGTGTGTTAGAGGCAAGAGCTCTATGGTCTCTAACAGCGGCAGTGAGTGTGCCCAGTATCTTAGAGACACACACAGAGCAGTCCCTATATAGAGGCACACAAAGCACACCCAGTGTCAGAGGCACGTGTGTAACAGCTGCTGTGTAAGGGCTTGCAAAGTGCTCCTGATGTCTTAGAGGTGCACAAACGATGTGTAGGGGCATGCACCTCTATATAGGAGCATGCAGAGCACACCCAGTGTGTTAGCTGTGTGCTCACAACAGCTCCCTGACATGGTGTGCCATCTCTTGCCCGTGTGTGAGAAGCCTTCCCGTTGTCTTAGTGTGTGGTGATCCCTGCTGTGTTCCAGCCTCACACCGGCCACTGACCAGTGTCTCATCTGGTACTTTTTGAGGATTCTGAAATCAAAGTGCCAACAGAGTTCTCACCGTGTTAGGTGGCAGATAATGTCACCTCTACCGGGACGGTAAACCGCCTTCCTCGTGTTTGCTCACCTCTACCTTTTCTCTTTCTCTGCCCTGTGTTTTGCAGGTGAGAGATAGGATGTTAGCTGGGGAGGCGAGTATGCGCAGCCCAATCCTGGCCTGCTGGCAGCCAATTCTCCTCCTGATGCTGGGATCCATCCTGTCCGGCTCTGCCACGGGCTGCCCTCCGCGCTGCGAGTGCTCTGCCCAGGAGCGTGCTGTGCTGTGCCATCGGAAGCGATTCATGGTCGTCCCGGAGGGGATCCCGACGGAGACCAGGCAGCTAGACTTGGGTAAGAACCGCATCAAGACGCTCAACCAGGATGAATTTGCCAACTACCCTCACCTTGAAGAGCTGGAGCTAAACGAGAACATTATCAGTGCCATTGAACCTGGGGCTTTCAACAACCTCTTCAACCTCAGGACGCTGGGGCTCAGGAGTAACAGACTCAAGCTGATCCCCTTGGGGGTGTTTACTGGACTCAGCAATCTTACCAAGCTAGACATTAGTGAGAACAAAATTGTGATCCTCCTAGACTACATGTTCCAGGACTTGTACAACCTGAAGTCTTTGGAGGTAGGGGACAACGACCTTGTCTACATTTCCCACCGGGCCTTCAGCGGCCTCAACAGCCTGGAGCAGCTGACCCTGGAGAAATGCAACCTGACCTCCATCCCCACAGAGGCCCTGTCTCACCTGCACGGCCTGATTGTGCTGCGGCTGCGCCACCTGAACATCAACGCCATCCGGGATTACTCATTCAAGAGGCTGTACAGGCTTAAGGTCCTCGAGATCTCACACTGGCCCTACTTGGATACCATGACATCCAACTGCCTGTACGGGTTGAACCTGACCTCCTTGTCCATCACTCACTGCAACCTGACGTCCATCCCGTACGTGTCGGTGAGGCACTTGGTTTACCTCCGCTTCCTGAACCTGTCCTACAACCCCATTGTCACCATCGAGGGCTCCATGCTCCATGACCTGCTCAGGCTGCAGGAGATCCAGCTGGTGGGAGGGCAGCTCAACACGGTCGAGCCCTTTGCCTTCCGCGGCCTCAATTACCTGCGCATCCTGAACGTGTCAGGAAACTTGCTGACCACTCTGGAAGAGTCGGCCTTCCACTCGGTGGGCAACCTGGAGACGCTCATCCTCGACAACAACCCCTTAGCCTGCGACTGTCGGCTGCTGTGGGTTTTCCGACGGCGATGGAGGTTGAACTTCAATAAGCAGCAGCCCACCTGCTCTACCCCCGAGTTCGTCCAGGGCAAGGAGTTCAAAGACTTCCCTGACGTCCTCCTGCCCAACTACTTCACCTGCCGCCGGGCTCGGATACGGGACCGCAAACCTCAGCAGATCTTTGTGGACGAAGGCCACACGGTGCATTTTGTCTGTCGGGCAGACGGGGATCCGCCACCCGCCATCATGTGGCTTTCTCCCCGGAAGCACCTCATCTCGACCAAAACCAACGGGCGGCTCACTGTCTTCCCTGACGGCACGCTGGAGGTGCGCTACGCTCAGATCCAGGACAACGGCACCTACCTATGCATTGCCAGCAACGCGGGTGGCAACGACACCATGCTGGCCCACCTGCACGTGCGCAGCTACTCCCCAGACTGGCCCCACCAGCCCAACAAGACCTTCGCGTTCATCTCCAACCAGCCCAACGAGAGCGATGCCAACAGCACACGTGCCACCGTGCCTTTTCCCTTTGACATCAAGACTCTCATCATCGCCACCACCATGGGCTTCATTTCTTTCCTGGGCGTCGTGCTCTTCTGTCTGGTGCTCCTCTTCCTGTGGAGCCGGGGGAAAGGCAACACCAAGCACAACATTGAAATCGAGTACGTGCCACGCAAGTCTGACGCAGGCATCAGCTCTGCCGACGCACCGCGCAAATTCAATATGAAAATGATTTAACCAGGCAACAATTTGCAAATAGTTTTGGTTGGGTTTTTTTTTTTTTTTTTTTGGTTGTTGTTTTTTGTTTTGTTTCGGTTTTTTTTTTTTTTTTTTTTTTAAAGAGAACATATGAACAAATAAAAAAATAATTTAAAAACATTGGTACAAACATACCGACCTCTCTCCTTCCACCACGCCCTCCGTCCCAGTCCAAACTCTCTGCACCCGCACCGTCACCACCTCTTTCTCCTCCTCTTCTTCTTTATACCAGGAAAACATTCAGCCGATGTCTTCAGGACTCCTGTGTTTGTAAGGACTTTGTCTGATGGACTCTGGTGTCAGATATAATTCTGAGAGGGAAAAACAACAAGGGGGGGGGAAAATAAACTAAAAAAAAAAAAAAGAAAAAAAAAAGAAAAAAAAAAGAAATAAAATCAATAAAAAGTTACAAACTTTCTTCTGTAACTTTGATTTCAATAATTATGAATTTTTATGAAAACTTGAAATAATAAAAAACCCTATTTCCTATAGATAGTTGGAATGCAAAATCTTGACTTCTGTATCTCTGGCGACTGCTCGGTTTCTCCCCTCTGGAGCTGTGGTCTCGGAGGCACTTTCCAGGACGCACTTTCCAGCCATCTTGCACAGAACAGCCCCAGGCAGTGACTCTCCTGCTGACATCGAGGGCTCACGCTGCCCAGAAAAGACACTTTCCTGGTGCCCTAGGCCCTGCGCAGCGCACCCGGAGGAATTCAGCTTCTTTGCCGAGGACCGGTTGTATTTTTACAGCCAATTCCCAAATGCCCATCAGAGTGGTGAGCGCAGCCCTCAGAGCCCAGGGGAGCAGGGCCGAGTCTGTGATGTGCGTAAGGAGCACACAGCAGGGCTGTCTGCCTGCCCTCTGCGTGCAAAGACTGAAAGCCCCAGTGCAGATGGGGATGCCTGGGGGTCCGTGGGAGAGGATTGTCTGCCCGCCGTTGCCAGCAGCACAGTTGTCTCTCCTCTCCAATGGACATTGTTCCCCACAGGCAGGGATGCTGCAGTGCTATAGCACAGGCAGGCAGTGCCCTGCTGCAACCCGGCCTTGCAGCACCCAGCAGCACAAGCAGTGATGGGTCCACTGAGGTTTCCTTCCTGCAGTGACTCTCACAGAGGATTTGGGCGCATGACAGCTGGCAGTCAGACTTGCAAGCACCCTCAGGCACGTCCGAGGGAATTTGGCTTCCAGGCTCGTCTGGAAATATGAAATTACACACATATATAAATAAACATGGACACGGACACGCTGCCTGAGCCAGGGGGGAACAGGCCTGGGGCAGCATGGAGGTGGGGCAGACTGCCCTGATGCTGCTGTGGGTCGCCTATCACCATGGTGTGTCAGGCAGAATTTCTTCTCAGAAAGAGTTGGTGATGTACCGAAACAGGCTGAGGTGGTGGGGTCACCCTGGAGGTGCTCCAGAACCGTGGAGATGTGGCACTGAGGGATGTGGTCATTGGGCATGGTGGGGTGGGTTGGAGTGGGACGGGGGGATCTTGGAGGTCTTTTCCAACCGTAATGATTCTATGATTCTTCTATAGTGTCAGTGGCACCTCAGGGGATGAGCCCAGATTTGCATGCTTGGCTTGTAAAGCACTTAAGGAGTCTTCGGGGATCAAAGTCACTACAACATGATAAAAAATAAGCAAAAGGAACCTGGAGTGCCGACAAAGAAAAGAATGGATTTTCTTTTCTTCCAGCGATGTGCTAATCTAGGAAAAACAACCTGAAACATCTGTGCTCATGGGAAGAGGGATTTTTTTTTGCTGGTTTCAGCTTTCCATTCACCTTGAAACAAAACATTTTGCATTTCTTTCTCCACAGCAGGCTTCAGGAGCTTCATGTTTTAGCTTCTCATCATCTCTAACCCATCCTCCCTTTTCAGTTTTGAAACCCAACTATTTTTAAAGCCGTTTGCTTTGTGTTTTGCTTTTTGAGAGAGTCAAAACACAATGGCTTTTTGCAGGCTCTCCCTCCCACCAGTGCTTAGACGCCATTTGCAGTGATCCAGGAGTGAACCCAAGGTAACAAACCAGAAGTGCCCGCAGCTCCATGTGCTGCAGTGGCCAATGGATGGATGCAGTCGTGCTCCCTGGAGATGAGGAGCTGTGCCCAGCACCACTGTGGACCGTGCTCTGCCCCACAAGGGTGTGCACATACCTCTGCCCAAGCTGTGCCAGGATGATGGTGACAACTCAATTGGCAGTTCAACAGACACCAGGAGGGTGGAGGGGTTTCCATGTTCCTGGGCAGCTATTAACACTGCCGGTTTGAAAGAGCTTTTTAATTGACTCGTTATCCCTTTTAATGCCATAATTAAAAGAGCTAATTCAACACACAGAGATTTAAAAAATAATAATAATAATAATAATGCTAACAAGCAAGTCCAGCAAGGTATTTGCAGCGCACAGCAGTATCCTAGCAATCAAAGGGAAGGAATCAGGTCTTAAAAGAGAGCTTTAGGAAAGAAGAGAGACTATGACTTCTGCTCTGTACAAGGTCCTGCAGCCCTCTGCCCCTTCCCAGGCACCCAAACAGCCTGAGCACACAGCTGGGGGTGTCCCCAGGAGAGCCACCCCCATCCTCATTAGCTGCCCCCCTGTCAGGGCACCATACACTTTTTTATCTTTGATGCTCTGTGAGCTGGATCATTTCTTTTTCTCAGTCGCCGGGTGATTAAAGCAGATGGATGGAGCAGGAGAAAAGCATTTTAGAAGGGCCAGCATCTCAGATCAGCAATTTTCATGGCCATAAAGATGTGGAGGAAAAAAAAAAAAAATAGAATAAACTCTTTCTCTCTCTCCTTTGCTGAAATTTACAGTGTGTTTCTATTGCAGTTTAACCAGTTGAGAGCAGGGGCTGACTGCCAGCACTGCTCATCAGGTAACCATGGGCTGTGCAGCACAGATAGATGCTTTTCACTTTATTTTTTTTTTTATAAGGATAAATACAAAGCTTTATAAAACAATGTAAAAAAAACAGGAAGAGGTGTGCTTAGGGCATGGAGGAGCTGCCCAGCTCCTCGTGGCCTTCCCATTTCTATCAGGCTTTATCACTACCCCATTTTTTTGCTCTGTTCCCACTAACTGCCTTCCTCTCTTCTCTCTCCTTCAGTCAATCGTTGACTTTTTCCCCTTTTCCTCCTTATCATTCTGTGCACCTCTCTCCCTGCTGCCATTCCTCTATCCATGCTCTCCTTGCTCTCCATGATCTCCTCTCATCACACTCCTCCCCCTCTGCTTCTCTCAGTGGGTCCCATCCTGCACCCTGTGCATGGAGAGGATGCTCCATGTCCTTCTTGTACTGGGGGCCCCAGGCCTGGACGCAGTACTCCAGATGGGGCCTCACAAGGACAGAATAGAGGGGGACAGTCCCCTCCCTGCCCACTGCCACTGATCTGTTGATGCAGCCCAGGATGCCCTGGGCCTTCCAGACCCAGCACACTGCTGGATCATGTTCAGTTTTTGTACACCAATGCCATCATTCCATCATAGAAAGATGGGTCAGGCACAATCTGCCCTTGGTTAAGCCACACTAGATGCCTCAGATCACCTCCTCGTCCCTCACGTGCCTTAACATCTCTTTCAGGAGGATCTTCTCCATGATCCTCCCAGTCTGTAGTTATTCAGGTCTCCCTTTCTTAAAAATGGGAATGAAGGTCTCCCCCATCCGCCCCATCCCCTGCTCCCACCTCACCTCTCCTCACTATCTACATGCCCCCTAGCCCTGCCCAGCTCTCTGCCATGCCTGTAGCCCGTGGCACCCGACTCTGCAGGATGGCACAGAAGGGCCCTGCACATGTGGGTGAGCACCTTGGAGGAGGTGGGGGCTGCAGCGCTGCTCCACCCTGAAGCCCTGCTCCTCCAGACCCCAGCACCAGGCCTATGGCTTCATTCTCTATTTTCTGGGTCCCTATCTGCTTGCTTACGATAGATTTACTGCAATTCTACTGCTTTATGATTAAAAGCCATAAATTTTACTGGGCCTTTTTCTTATTTTCCATAATCTTCAGGATTCAAGGCAATCAAATTTTAACTGGAAAGCATGGGCTGTGCAGTTAGGTCCCACTGTAATGGGGAACGGTTCATTTCCCAATCCACCTTCATTACTGAGCTACTAAAGAAATATTGCCCCGTGAAGGGGATTTTCCCTCTTTCCCTTTAAAACAATGCACTCAGCTGAGCCAAGGATCAGAGGAGCAGTGTGAACCTCAACAAAGTACAGCGTTCCCCCCCACTGCACCTGAGGTTTCCGGGCTGTTTCCTGGTGGACTCGGGCAGTGCTGGGGGTCTCTGTGTGCCCAGAGCAGGGTGCAGGATGGTGGCAGCGGGTCCCATCAGCAAGCAGCTCCTCAGACTTCATCATGTGCCTGTTACAATCCAGGTAATGAGACATTTCGGTCAAATGAGCTAATTTATTCCAGTGGCACTTTAATAACAAAATCAATAAAACTACACTTCCCAGCAGGGCTTTTTCATATGCTAAAGCTTCAGCATATCGCCTGGATATTCTAAATTCTCTCCCTGAAATAAAGTGCAAAGTTTAGAAGACAGATGACACCATTTGCAGCACTAGCAGGATAATGCCCTAATAAATCCAATGCCACCTGGGCACTTTGGAGCTGTCACACACTGCGTGTGGTGGCCACACGTTCCAATGACGTTCAAAAGCAGCAGCTCAGATCAGACAAGACACCTCCCTTCTCCCTGCCCTCCCACCTCACCATCTCCCCAATAACCCTATGCTGCTTCACCACCTCTCCCCACACCCAGCCATGCCGATGTCCCCCAGCAGTTCCCCCTCCCCTCCTTGTCCCTCCAGCTCGTGCTTCCTGAGCCTATCAGTGCTCCCCAGCCCTGAGAGCTGCAAAACCAATTAGCTCACTACAAAGGCTGAGAAATAATTAGGGACTCCAACGATAGCACAAAACTAGGGCATCTCGCCTTAAATAACTGCCAGGAAGTCTCTCTGCGCTGATGATGCCCTGCAATTGCCTCAAGCAGCTGATCAGCCCGCTTGCTGTCCCTCAGCTCCCAGCACAGCCATAATCACTGAAGGTGTCTCGATCTCCAGCTCATCCCTCCCACAGGTGCATGTGCTCTGCTGCTCCCAGGCACTGAAGCAGGCAGGCAGCCCCATGCAGATGTGGGCATTGCTGGTTTGAGCGCTGCCATTCAGTGGTCCTCCAGCTCAGGTTTTCCCTGGGGGAGCAGCAGGGGAAAGCAAGCACTGAGCACAGTAAATATTTTGGAAGAAAAACAGTTGTTTGCAACATTTCTTATCCACTTGCTTCCAGGATATTACAGAAGTTGTTTCCCTATGCAGCACTAGTGCACTCATCCCATCTCACCCCATCCCACCCTAATCCCACCCCACCCTATAGCATCCTATAGCATCCCATAGCATCCCATCCTATAGCATCCCATAGCATCCCATCCCATAGCATCCCATCCCATCCCATGCCATCCCATCCCATCCCACCCCACCACCTCCCATGCCATCCCATCCCATCCCATCCCATCCCATCCCATCCCATCCCATCCCATCCCATCCCATCCCATCCCACCACCTCCCATCCCATGCCATCACACCCCACCCCACTCACCCCATCCCATCCCATTCCATCCCATTTTTTTCCTGCAGGAGAGGGAGCACAGAGCAGAGCCTCTGACATTCCCTGTGCCCCATCTCCCTGCTGCAGCAACAATCCTCCTCCAGCCGTTGTCTGCGCCTGAAGTTTTGTCACTTATTAATGGTATTTAATAACAACCTGACACTCAGCCCTGCGTTTCACTCAGCCCTGTGACAGTGCCTCATGTCCCCAGCCATTTGTGGAGGAGCCTTGTAGAAAAGCCTCCCTGGCTCCTGCTCCCTCCGAGCCTGGCCTGGCATGCAGCACATCTCTTGGACTCAGCACTGGTATTTTGCTGAGCCCAACATGGAAGCAGAGCACCCTCCTCCCCTCAGCCCACTCCTGCTGTCATTGCTTTGCTGAGAGCACTGTCAGACAAAGTGTGGAAGAACATGTTCTCAGCACGGGCACAGACAGCAAAGGCCCTCAGGGACACTGACCATGACACTGTAACCCCTGCCCTCATGGGGTTTTTCCCAGTCTGGCACTAACAACTCCACATCCAGGCTCAGCTTCTTCTTGCTCGCCCAAAGTGGTGAGAGATCGTGTGCCCAGCACCCACAGGAGGTTCCCTTACTTTATCCAAGGACATAAGCTTGGGGAAGACGAAGAACTCCACCCTTCCTTGCATCTGGGTTTCAGGCTGGGGAAGGTCTGCATCCTGGAAGGGCCACACTGAGTCATCCGGGCATGGCCCCAGCAGAGGGAAGGCTGAGGCAAGTACTGCATAATTCTAATAGCCCTCCTGCACCATCCTACCAGCCTCAGGCAAACGGAGGTGAGAGAGTTTCTGAGCCACGCTGTCTCTGCAGCATTTTCTGATTAGTCCTTAACAAACCTTTCTTCCTTGAAGTCATTTGATTGCATTTTTTAATCTACTTACGCCCCTGGCCTGCAGCAGCAGCAGTAGCAGTGCGTGCCACCCTCAACGTCTGCACAGTGTTTGCTTTGTATCAGCCACCCAGCCCCGTTTCTCAGATTCACCCCTGCATGGCTGCACCAGAGCCCCATGGAGGGCTTTGCAAGCAGCTCGGCCCCACACCCTGTCCAGCAGTGGGGCCGTTCTCCTTCTTGGTGCTGCAGGGAGAGCTGGAGAGCAGCGTGTCTCCAGGTCCATGCACCCAGAGCTGTCAGAGAGCCCATGCTGTCAGAACCTGAGCAATAGCCACCAAAGCATCTCCTAAGGAGCAGAAGTGTGGTGAGGAAGAAGAGACACGTGAGGTCACCTCAGATGAACAAACTGCCCTGCCTGGTGACCTGCACCTAGGAGGATCTGGCACTGGTGCCTTCGAAGGGGACAGATGGCTGTTCTGAAAGAACAGAGGGGGTGTAGATCTGTGCACAACCAGGAGATTCCTCCTGGCACGAGGCCCTCACAGATGGATGCTCCAGGAAGCAAGCAGATACAGCTTTATCCTGCAGCACAAGCACGGCTTTCTTTTCTTCAAACACACACCTAATCATTTTGAAGATCTCTGCTTCAGAACTATCTTTTTGATAAAACTAATCACAGGCTTAAATTACAGATAAATACCCGATATTAAGAGAACAGTCTGAGAAGGAGGAAAGGGGTAGTTTAACCATGCTCATTTTCCTTGCTTTTCTATAGCACACATCTCGGGCTATTTAACCGTAGAGCTCAGTAAGCTTCATTTTGACAACTCTCCTTTCTTCACAATGTGGCTTCCACCAATGTTTCCCCGGTTCCTTTACCCACTGTGCTTCTGTTGGCTGTATTACTGCAGCAGTCGCTGTATCTCCAGCCCAGAGTGGGAAGCGGGCAGGCAAAGAGCTGCATCAGCACACACAAAGGAAAAAACCCATTGCTGAATAGGCTGGACCCAAAGGCTGGCTGCTTTGGGTCAGCCTGCAGGAGAGCTTCGGCTCTGGGTGCCTTCAGCTCCTGCACGATCCAGGCTCACAAACGCACGCTGCCTTCCTCTGCTCTGTAGGGGAACAATGGCTTTGATCAACAGAAGATTGCTGAGTTAATTGTAATGATATTCTAATGAAGCTGGGGAGATTAATTACGGCTCTTTATCAGAGCTGGCCCTTCGCCAAGGGTTCGCAAAATTGTTTTCCTCTGTTTCCTGTCATTTGAATTTAGGAGAAGAAAGAAGGAAGGTGGGTGCCTTTTTTTCTCCAGCAATCAGGATGGTGGCCTTGTGCCCCAGTCACGCTCACAGCTCAGTGCATTCGAGCAGGGGAACGGGGAGGGGGGAGAGTGCAGCAAGAAAGCAAATGGAGAGCGACAGAGCAAACCAATTAGCCATGATGCAGCACAATTACACTCCCAGTCAATAAGTGGCTTGGTGCAGAGAAGTACAAAGGAAGGCGGTGACAGCACACGGAGCAGACATCACTCCACGTGGGGCACATGACACCTCTCCAGGACTTTGGGGGCAAAACACATTTAGTGCTCCCCCAGAAGGGCTCACAGCAGTGGCACCAACACTGAGCAGGATGAAGGAAGCTCTTTCCAGAAAAGCTTTGCAGCCTTGCTTGTCACTCCACCGCACAAAGCAGGTGTCCAGAGACAGCCAGAGCCCTGCTAAGTGGCCTTGGGGCGCGTGAGGCTCAGACCTTCCTGTTTTCCTTGACAAATTGCTGTTCCTTTCAGGGAAGATTTAGCAGTGCCCAGGCAGGTGAGAGACAGAGCTGCAGAGGGATGATCCTGGCTGAGGACAGCAGATAACCAGGCAGAGCTGCCAGCTCACTCCCCAGGGAGAGGAGGAGATGAGGCCCTTCCTGCAGCGGGTGTACATGGGGTGTGCTGAGGAGAGAGACAGTCTGGGAAGGAAATGTGCTCCTCATCCAGCAGAAAGAAAGATGAGGATTAAAACAATGTCACTCACTTTCAAGCAGCATTGGAACACTTCCTGTAGACGGTCAGGGCTTGCTGCTGTGAGGACAAATGCCACCATCTCATCCACAGCCTCCAGCTTGCCAAGACACACAGCTGCTCCAGGTGTATTTTCCTGAATGGCTCTGGGAAGATGACACATTGCTGCCGCTCAGGAAGCACGAAGGCAGGGTGGGAGTCTAGATTCAACTGCGTGTTATTATTCCTGTCAAACAGAACATCCCCCTACACACACACAGCCCAGAATAGCTGCTTCCAGCTTGCTCTCCATCTCCTGTGCTCTTCCCTAGTCTAACCAAAAGGCACAAGGCTGCGTGACTTTGGACATGGGCAGAACAGCCCTTTGGCAGCAGCCTCAGCAGAAAGGGTGCTGTGACAGCGTTGTGGTGCTAAGGGAAAGCAGCTCTGGTGCCACTCCATGCAGAGGTTTGTGCATCAGAGACATCCCTGTGCAGGAGCAGCCCTGTGTGGCCCCGCTTTCCTCACAGCAGAGGAGCTGGCACGCAGCACGGTGCTTTCTGCTGACCCCTTCCACTGCCAAGTACAAGGCATAACATTCATCTCTGGTTGTTGAAACACAGCCTGAGCTGGGTGGCACACAGCCACGCTGCTGTCTACCATGAAAGTGCCACGGGCCAAGTTTGGCCAGGGTGTGAATGAAAGGGAGAGGATGCATACAGAGCACCCAGATGCATTTGTATGGGCTCAACACTTCATAGAGGCATGGAATACCCTGAGTTAGAAGGGACTCATAGGGGCCATCGAGACCAACCAAAAATTAGACCAGAATTTGCCATCAGCATTCAGGGAGCACCAACCTCTGCATGTAGCGTGGCCACCTGCTGCCTTTCCAAAGCACCAGAGGTACACTGCT